ATTGTTTATTTATTTGCAATGCATGCAGATGTTCACACATTAGGCAATTGTGTCACCGTCACAATCTCATTGTGATGTTCTTAGCTCGAACATGCGAAGTTAGGTCTTATTGCAATTGACCTCTAAAACTAATTAAACAAGATAACAATACAGTTATTTTATCTTTGTCTCAATAACAATCTGTGTGAGCTATGTTCAATTAAGTACAATTTAATTAAAGTTAGATTAAGGATATGAGTAATTGAATGAATACTCGGGACTATTGGGTTTTTTAAGTATTTAGTTTCCAGGTCAAGGCGACAGTTTGATGTATGAAACATTAATTAGCTTATGTTTTCCGCGGCGAATGGTTTGAATAGCATCCATCTTTGATGTGCGACTTTCACAGCGTATTTACAAAACTTTTAATTGGCGAGGCCCGTTGGTAAAATTTAATGGGTTCTCACGATGTTATTGCCTTTTGGTTGGCATTTAACAATGAAATAGAGTGAGGGTCTTATATGACATTTGAGACGAAACGTTTAGATCTGAGAATAGAATGTTTAGATGTTTAGACCCAAGGCCGACCGCCTGCAGCAGGATTAGGTATGTGATATTTTGAATTCAATGCATTGTAAGTTGATTCGTGGATACGTTAGTAAGCTGGGTTGAATAGGAAGGACAACTAGTTACACTTATGTATTTTAATTTAGCTCAAGTATCCAATATTAACAATGTGATCTACGAGTAAGTTTATTATGCAAAAATGTTTAATGAGGATTTCACAGGGACAGGAAAATTATTACTATATTACTTTATACGATGTCATGATAATAACATTATATTTATACATCATTTTGAACTGATTGAGGTACAGCGCCTCAACGATGTTAGTAAATGTCAGTCACTCAACTTGACGAACATTTTAACAAAAATAATATACGTAGTACCTAACTAGAAAGACAGAAAGCATTTAAGAAAATCTTAACACATAATAAATTATAATATATGTTCGAGACAAGAGAAAGGAAAGCCCTGAAAATTAAGTTTTCAGCGATTGTATGTAGAGCACTTGCAAGAAGTAGGTATTTGAATTTAATAGACACATAAATTATCCTATCTAAATAGGCAATCAAGCTTGTTAATTGGTTGTAGAGCGGACCATTCATCTAAGATATAATCGATGTCAATTCGTTCCGTGACGATAAGTCTGTCAATTGACCAGGGTTGAGGTAGCGGTGCTCTATAAATTGATTAAGGATTAGAAGATGCTTATCTGTAGCCGATGTTAGTAACATTGATGAGACATCGTTATTATTTTTGCTAGGAATACCCTGGAGTCTGGAACCAATGAGGATAACCTAAGTTTATTGGAAGTCAGAAACGGTGGTGAAACGGTTGTAGAGTCGCAAGTATTTTGGTTTCAGACTTCCATTTAGATTGCAGAAGATTATTTTGGCTTTTTGGTGCTTTCTTACTTACTTACAACACACGCTACTATGGATTAATTTCCTTGAAATTTCGTTCGATACGTTCATACCTACGTTCAATGAAAATTCCTTCCACACACTTTACGCCAGTTTCTCTAACTTTATCATTAATTTGATTAGAAGGTAGGTAAAATTGTTATGAAATAGAATGATTGAAGCGTCGAAACTATGTTTAGTTCTAAATTGGAACCACCATTCAAGATCAATATGAATCACAGAAGATGCTATTTCAAGTAGTGTGAACCAGGTCAAACTTATAACGAGGGAAAATGTACGTTCGCTGATTCGTTAATTGAAGTCTAATGAATTTCATATCTTTTTAGACTTCGTATTTTTTAATCTAATGAAGGCATGCGACACAACTCGTACGGGTTTTTATTGTGGTAAATGAAACGAACCGCAGAAATTTTAATTGGTGATGCAACAGCTGTTTTTATAAGCGTGGACAACCCTGGTGACCTAGATGTCCTCGTGATTCTTATTCGTGAATCGTGACTTTGCGGAAATATTATAGTCAACAAATCTCATTAAAGACATGCCAAGATATTCAGTTATTTAAAATTGACAGCGATAGATTGTACCAACAATCTACCAAGTAAAGCAGTTCTGGCTCTGCAATACTCGTATCTGATAATGAAGAGGATTAGGTCAAGATCTAACAAGGACAAGGTCTTTAAGATTATAGATGATTAAATGATTATGAGTATTCTAAGGGCACTGGAATTGAATGAGAAAAGCCCAGCATTTTTGGTAGAGCGTCTGGGAAATAACAACGAAGCTTTTGGTAAAAGTAAGGAAATTAATTTTCTCAAAATAATATAAGATTGTCTTTCCCGTTTTGCGCAATACGTCACAGATCATCCTCTGTGACTGTAGATTAATTAATTTAGTAGGAAATTATTTATTTGTGGAGCGATTATTTTACCGCAGTAACACAGTTTTCGATTAAACCCCATAATTTGTACGAGCTGTTGGAGTAACTTTATTATTATTACTTTCTAAACCATGACAAACGTTATTTAGTAGAGTTTCTACCCATTGAACCTTATTATTATGTGTACGGACGAACCCAAATAAAGGTAAATGCTGTGGGCACTGTGGCGCTTAACATAGTTGAGATAGGTGCGATTTTGCAACAAACATGTAATTCTGATGGGCTGTCGACTGTACTTAGAAGCACCAGCACCGATAATGGATGATGACCTGGCGAGCGGCGCGCGCGTCACGCACGTCCGAGGAGAAAGTGAATCGCGAACAATGCAAGAAGAATTGAAGGCTCCAAACCATAGTTTGTCAGTTTGAATGGCTCTTTTCAGCTCACGATAGGAATGCAGAATGGACAGGTTTATACACAATACCTCAAATCATCGTAGCATTTTTCAAAAGAAAGTAAATTGTGATAGTAAACTCGAGGTGGTGACCCTATGCAGTCGTTTGAGCACTAGTAAATGGAAATAGAAAAATAATTAGGTCTCCACAAGAGACTGTAATAATAACCTAATCAACTTTTTGTTAATTAGACAATGAAGGTCGGAATTCCTAACTGTAGTTATGTTGTTGTTACCTGTATACCAGTTAGTTCGGACCAATAAAAACAATAAACAGTTAAACCGCGCTCGCTTTCAAAAACTGGATCAGTCAGATATGGCTATTAAGATTTTTTGTACTTAACTAATAACACCGTACGCTACGCTTACGTCAAAGTACCAACGTAAAAAATTACACTTAGAATGGAGTCAGGGTTTTATTTCGAAGAGGTGTGTAACTGATAAGAATCTTCTAAGTAGATACATTTAGATGTTTCTTTATCTCAAAAACTAAATTCATGGCTCTACTATGCAATGTGATCATGTCATGACCGTGACTGTGATCGATCGATCACTTGCTATTGTTGGAAAATTCTTTCAAGTTCTGCTATGCAGTAAGGCTATCACTAGAAAAGTTGGCAGTGTTTCCGGGCGCGCAGCGCAGATTGGCTTCGAAATGTGATTTTCTTTCCATTTCGGCGGCCCGCTTTTATTGCATTTCACTTGGAGAACCGGCGACATATTCCCTACAGCCAACTTTAGGCGTAGGAAACTAGGAAAATAGCTTTCCAAAGATCTACGGCTGGAATAAACTGACAGCGTAACATAAATCACTTGTTTTATGCTTATTGAATGAATGATAAGGTGAAATCGTGCTTTATTGCTTTAAACGAGTCTGCAACACGTACTCACGAGCATGAGCGGTGCAAATCGACCATCGGATCGGACACAATTTCAGGTGAAACTCCGCGGTAGCGCCGATGCCGCAGCAAAACAAAAGGACTGATGACGTCTCAAACGCTCTCACTTTCTTGATTTGTATAAAAAATAAACAATAAAAACATTTAACAAACTGTTTCAGGCCTAACAAATCTAGTAAACTATCAATCAATATATTAATTTATGTATTTGCGTTTCGTGTTATTATAATGGCTGTGTCGAATTTTAAACGATTTAGAAGAAGACAGGTTTCGCTTGGTATATCATGGTCAAATAATTCACTAATCCTCGCATTTAACGACAATCCAATTTATGAGACGAGAGTAGAGGTCAGACGGCGTGTGCACCTACCTCATCGATATAACAAGCGACGATGACCTAATACCCTAATGATGCAAGTAAACAAAATAAACATTTAAATTTTTATCATGATAATGTAATGTTATTATGATACTGGGAACCACAAATTAATATCGATTGATCGAATTTAGCATGCAAATTGGTTAAATAATTAAACTGATGTTGTGTTGTGCTAATTATACCTTATAGTCTAACATTCCAATTAATTTGTTGAATTTTGATGGGTTTTAATCATTGGAGGAAAATATTAAAGAAAATCCCAAGTTACTCAATAATTTTAAGCAAAATTTATAAGTATTTTATACCTTAAAATATTCAAATGTCCGTATAGCTCTGTGTAACATTTGTAATACAATCTTAATTAACGGCAATGGTCTTATTAACTGACCGTGAATAGTAATGTATTATCACTGAGTATCTCTTAGGAAAGTAGGTCACAATGTTGCAAGATTTGCTGCAAACTGTACCATGCAAATATACAACTTATACATTTTATAGTCCTCCTTCTCAGAGGTAGGATAAATATTAAACTCAAATTATAATATAGCTGTGCTCTGGTGACCATTTGAGTCAAGATTCAATTCAAAGGTGATGGGCAGTCTTACTTCTTATAGTATAAGCTAAATCAGAGAATAAACTTACTCAGTCATTATCTCAATTTTAAACTGCAAAATTAAATAATAACAATAAGACATGATTGCTTTGATAAATGCTGAAAACATTTAATTCAAATCCTAAGAGACTGGAGCCTGTGTCAATTGCAGTTTGTAAACATAATAAAATACTGTAACTCAATAACAATAAACTGCAAAGAGTATTAAGACCTTTACTACAGTGTCTTTTTTTATTCTTAACTTGTGAAACTTTATTATTTTGAGACACCATAAAAGAGGTCTTAATAGCATTGAGAAGTGAAAAAACTTACCAGTTCTAGGAGAGATGGGCACTGCTGGTTTGGGGGCTGAGTTGGAGCATAGTCTTCCAATCTTGCTCGGCGGCTTCAGGCCAGAAGGCTTGGGCAGTGATGAGGGCCGCGCTGATGCTGAAGTGGTGACTGATGATAGAGTTTCTGATGACGAAGAGACTGCAGGTGTGGCTGCAGCTGGTGACGACGCTGATGTGTTCATCGGCGCTGCTTCTTGTACTTCACTCATTCTTTTTTTTCACTACTTTTTAGGCACTTCACAATTTTTTTTATAATGATCCCATTGTTTTGACCGAACGTAACAACATCAAAGTTGTCTGCAAAAATACTAGAAGATATTAACGGTGTTACACGCGTTTCAAGTCATCGTGTGACCATTAAACTATAAATATCGCAAGTTCCCGCGCAATAACACGGACGCACTATCTGGATCACGGCCAATGTGAAATGTGGTAAATAATGGCAAATATCCGAATCCGTAATATTTGTCAAGTAATGCAATTTATCTACAAAACGCAAATAATCGCGCAAAAACACGCTGGCCCTAAACCCAAAACAAGTTTTAAATAAAGCTAAATAAATAGCCAAGTGAAAGAGTTGGTTACATAAATCTTAAAGAAGAAAAATATAACGGCATACCTTGAAGAAATAGAGCACAAAAAATGCTTTCCGTAATCAAAAGAAAAACCTCGAGAGATTTTACCGCTCGTCGTCACGACCAGCTGAGCTTGACAATGTTATCACTATCACTTCACACCACACTATTAATTTATTGTTCTTAAAACATGTTGGAAGAATTAATTATCACGGTAAAAATATTATTTGATTAGCGCAAATCCAAGAGTTAGCTCATCGTAGCTAAGCCGAGAACCGAGCGAGCACGTAACGGAAAATAAAATCGTACGTAGCGATACAATCGCTGTTCGCCCATCACGTTTCAAAACATAAAAAATGCGTTTCGTTTACGAAGCGAGACATAATTTTATTATTACCTTATTAATTAATGATAAGAAATTAAACAATTTACAAAGAATATTTTTTTCCAATCAATGTGTTTTACTTACTTAATTAACGGCTTAGTCAATATAATAATTAGAAAGTAAAAGAAATACCTTTATGTGTGATCAAAACGCTTACTTTGAATTTTTAAATTGATGTCCCAATGTTCACCACGTTTTTTCAGATTGGCTGTTACAGGTAAAGCAGTTTCAATCAACCAATGAGAAAACTTCATAAATGTTGATGAACCAATACTGTTTCAGTATTTTTTGGAAGTGAGACAGCATAAAGCAAAACGTCATTTTTGTAATGTCAGCGCTATTGTCTGTCAGTTTTCTTGTCAAAAATGAGCCTTGCATTCGTAAATTTTAAAACTTTCCGATTCTTGCAATGAATTCAGGAATAAGAAAATAATGGACAACCTAAGTGTATAACTAGAAGACAAAAATGAAGTTGGTTTACAAAAGTATCGAGAAAGATGGCTGTGGGTCAGTATTTGTATTTACACATCTGTTTCTTCCCTAAGATAAGCGTTTATATATTTTTTCAATATTTTCAGGAGTATTAGCCTTATCCCCGAAGAATCGGAGGATATGTGGCATGCCTTCAATCTCATTGCTGAAGGTGACGCAGTAACTGCTTCCACTGTGCGTAAAGTGCAGACGGAGTCGTCTACTGGCTCTTCAACCAGCAACCGAGTGAGAACCACGCTGACCATTCGCGTTGAGACTATCGACTTTGATACTCAAGCATGTGTACTACGGTTAAAAGGACGGAACATAGTCGAAAATCAATATGTAAAGGTAAGCTGAGATTCTATAATCTGGTAACTCATTTTTGTGCAAGTTCATTATAAGACCGATGGAATTTTATTGTAAATATTACAGATGGGCGCCTACCATACCTTGGATTTGGAATTAAACAGAAAGTTCACACTGCAGAAGATACTATGGGATTCAGTGGCATTGGAACGTGTGGACATGGCCTGCGACCCAGCTCAGAATGCTGACGTCGCAGCCGTGGTCATGCAAGAAGGCCTTGCCCATGTTTGTCTTATCACACCATCCATGACTTTGGTGAGGTCCAAAATAGACATGACTATACCAAGGAAAAGAAAGGGTTTTACACAGCAGCATGAAAAGGTAAAATTATTGTCTTTTCTACAGGTTCAGCTCCAGAAATGGCTTTAAAAGAATCATTTTATTGCAATGCAATTATGTTATAACATTTTTTAGTTGTTTCAGAAACATAAAATTTAGAATAACAATGCTTTATTTGAACTTTTCAGGGTCTGAATAAATTTTATGATGCCGTCATGCAAGGAATACTCCGTCATGTTGAGTTCAGCGTGGTCAAGTGTGTGATTGTCGCTTCACCAGGGTTTGTGAAGGACCAGTTCTTTGAGTATATGATGCAGCAGGCTGTAAAAACTGACAACAAACTGTTGATTGAAAATAAAAGCAAATTCTTGCTGGTTAAGGCTTCTTCAGGATTTAAACACTCCTTGAAAGGTATGAATATTCTTCTCATATTCTAAAATAAAATTCTTCTCATATTCTAAAATAAAATTACTACTAGCTAGTTTCAATTCAATCAAATTGATATTAATCATGCTTACATTGTCAAGTGGCACTGATTTATTTTTAGACATTACTTATTTTTGCATTTTAAGATAATATGTATGTATTAAGCTCTTCCTTATTATCCTTTTCGCCACATAATCAGTGATAAAGTAGAAAAAAAAACTTATTTTTATATTAATTCATGGACCAACTTATTCACCTCACTGTGTTTTTCCAGAGGTTTTACAGGAACCAGCTGTTATTGCAAAAATATCTGACACTAAGGCAGCAAGTGAGGTAAAACTGTTAGAGAGTTTCTACACCATGCTGCAACTGGAGCCAGCAAAGGCTTTCTATGGGAAAAAACATATTGAAAGGGCGAATGAGGCAATGGCTATTGAGACACTTATGATATCAGACAAACTATTCAGGTAATATTAATTATATTTTAAACTCACACTTATTGAATAATTGTTCTTACTAAATTGGGCTGCATCTGAGCGGCGCACTATGGATCGAAATTGCGATTTATGGAAATAGCGATTTTTTTCACAATATCTATTTGAAAAAATTACCTATCGATAGGTTAAGTTATTCTGATGAATAAATGTCGTTAAAAGTTTTTCTCTAAAACCAATAGTTTGGCTGGAAAAAAATATTTTCCATTTTCGTTGTATGGAATGAAACATAAAGTGGTCGATTTCGACTATGCCTTGACAGATCTTGCGTTGAAATTACTTGAGCCTTGTTCTATGGCTTGTTGACTATAATCCTACACTATCAGCGCGTGCCCAAAGTTGCCCGTTCACAAATTATGAGGTTCTGAAAAATGAAAAAAAAGTTAAGTAAAAGTTATTTCACATTATGTATAGTAATAATCCTATGCAGATGACTTTTCTTTAGATAAGACGACAAGAGAAAGGTTAATTACATTACTAAAGTATAGAATTTTCATGTTTTAGTTGAATCTTTAAAGATACAGGGTGTTAGGTAAATGGGTATATGAGCCGACACTAGCCCATGTTAACATGGGCATATAAATGGTATGGTGAAGTCAGAAACTCGATATCATCATTTTAATTTTTTAATACTCATACAAAATAAATTTTATTAAATCCGATTTGTATGAAAATTAAAATAATTAAAATGAAGATATCAATTTTCTTACTTCACCATACCATTTATATGCCCACGTTAACATGGGCTAGTGTCGGCTCATATACCCATTTACCTAACACCCTGTATACCCAAAAAAAAGATACTTTTACTTACAATTTTTAAATTTTTTTGGAACCTCATAATTTCTGAACGGGCAACTTTGGGCGTGCGCTGATAGTGTAGGGTTATAGTCAACAAGCCATAGAACAAGGCTCAAGTAATTTCAAAGCAAGATCTGTCAAGGCTTAGTCGAAATCGACCACGTTTCATTCCATAAAACGAAAATGGAAAATATTTTTTTCCAGCTAAATTATTGGTTTTAGAGAAAAACTTTTAACGACCTTTATTCATCAGATAGGTAATTTTTTCAAATAGAAATTGTAAAAAAAATTGTTACGTTCATAAATCGCAATTTCGATCCCTAGTGCGGCGCTGCACTGCGCTACACGTGACCTAAGATCTAACTGACCTATCTAGCAGCGCCGCCCTAATGTGGCACATCTATACTTATACTAATATTATAAAGAGGAAAGATTTGTACCTATTTTTGTATGTTTGTAATGAAAAGGCTCAAAAACCACTGAACGGATTTTGATGAAACTGCAGTATTATTGTTCATAACCCAGAATAACATAATTATAGGCTATAATTTATGACGATCTGTGATAAACGAAATTTCACGCGTGCGAAGCCGCGGGCGGAAAGCTAGTGTGATATAAAATGTATAGTTTGCCAGTAATCAATATTTTTTCAGGTGTCAAGATGTACAAAAAAGAAAGGAGTATGTATCACTGGTGGACTCAGTTAGAGAGAATGGTGGTGATGTTAGGATATTCTCCAGCATGCATGTATCTGGTGAACGTAAGTTTTTGTCTATGGTTTTTTTTGTTTGATAATCTAAGCAAGCTAAGAAAATACCATAAAATATTATAAAAATGCTTTCTAATCTATCGACAATATTAGAATGTGCTGCGTCTGCTACAATTTAAGAAATAGGATAATTTCAGTCAAAATCTTGTTTTACTGAGACCTGAAAACTTAATTATTCATTGACATGGACATAAAAAAGATATTTCTAGGTCTCTAATTACTAAGTGGGAAAAACCAAGTTACCTAACATATTTATTATCCTGTTTTCAGAACTAGATCAGCTTACTGGATTAGCTGCCATACTTCGTTTCCCAATGACCGAGCTGGAAGACAGTGATGCAGAAGGCGACAGTGACGAAGATTCAGATTGAAATTACGCACCAGTAATAATTCACCTCATCACATTGATATTGTTAATTTATCACACACATAATCATATTTTAATTCATGAAACAGAAAGAAATGCGTATTACAGGGCTGTGCTTTATGGCGCTTTATTTACTCTTGTGGTAACTAGCCCTCAATCCATATCTTGAATCTTAACTAGTGAATTTGTCATTAATTTTATTTTAAATTAATTTATACATTCATAAGTATATTTTTAACTATTGCCTCCCTTTTAATTGTTTTATTGTATGTAATAGTTGTTGTAAATATTGATGTTTAGAATAAATAAAACAATTGTTACAGTACATGTGGTATTTATTTCACATTATGTTAGTAATAATCCTATGCAGATGCAGCATCAATGGCCTGCATTCTCTGTTTGCGTTTTTCTGCTTTCTTTTCTTCCTTGGCCTTCTCATCATGGAGACGCCTCTTCTTCCTGAGTAGCCATATTTCCTTCTTGCGTTTTTCTTGCCCAGCCTTCATACTCTTGTAAAGATTTCTGTGCTTCTTGCGAACAAGCTTTTCTCTCAGTCTGAATGCTTGTTTGTCTTCAATTTCTTTTTGATATGGGTGCTCTTTATGTGGCACTCCAGTTGTAACTGCCATGGCCTTTTTCTGTAAAAACCAAAAATATCAATGAGCTAACTGCAATTTTAATCATAAACAAATAAATGAAATGGATAATAAAAATACAATATACCTTTTCCTTTGCTAATTTCTTCTTCTCAGGATCAACCTCATCATCTTCATCTTCAGAGGATGATTCGTCCTTGATTTCTTGTTGGTATTGTTTTGTTAGTGCTTCATCAGGATCCTCATCAGATTCTGCATCCTTTTCTTCATCATCTTCATCACTTGCTTCTTCAATATCAGTATCAGAACCTTCATCATCATCTGTAATTTTAAGAGTTTAGTTTATTAAAGGCAACCATGAATTATATCATTAAAACTAGCTGACCCGGCGAACTTTGTTCCGCCTTAATGGCAATAAATAAGCAGACTTTTTTTTTTAATTTCGAACGGGATAAAAAGTATCCTATGTCCTTTTCCTGGCTCTAAACTACCTCCCTGACAATTTTCAGCTAAATCGGTTCAGCCGTTCTTGAGTTATAAGTGGTGTAACTAACACGACTTTCTTTTATACAGGGTGTTTCTTGTAAGGTGTCAAGCCGAAGGCAGGTGATAGGTGAGGACTAGACCTATCGATTTCACCCCCATGTATGTTCTACGATTTTTCATAGTTTAGAAGTTATCGTTAATTTTGTGATTTTTTCAAATTGTATGACCCAGTAGGCTTTAAATTTTTTTATCTTTTTTTTGGGTCGACTTTTCTCAGATTTCTTTTTTTTGACAGATTCCCTATTAGTTGCAGATATTTGAAAAAAATAATCACCTTCCTATCTTTGATGCAAGATACAAAATTTTTGCTAGAAACATAAAAAAATATGCTTTTAGCGGAACATCCTAAAATTTTCAACTTAAAAGTTTAAAAAAAAAAAGAAATTCCATAGGTCCAAAATAATTTTAAAAACTGCGCAGTTTTCTGAACTTTCATAATAACACAAAAAAACATGTACTTAATAGGCCATTATTTTCTGTAATCGCTCCACTACAGTGGTAAGTCGGAGATTCTGTTACATGTTTTTGTCTTTCTTAGGACTAACTAATGTTTGCAATTCTCTAAGTTTACGTTACGTAGAACACATTTAAAGACAATAACTGAACAGAACATTTTTTTATCCACAACGAGGAATCTCTTGCCATTCATCTGACCTGATGGAAACTGATGGATGATCAGCGAGCTTCACTCGGAATCCTAAACCACAGAGGAATTTGCTGTCCTAAATAGGTGGCCTTACCACTAGACCACAGCTGTGGTGGTTGTTACTTTACGATTAAATTCGATATGGTTTCGGTAAACTTAGAGAATTGCAAACATTAGTTAGTCCTAAGAAAGTCAAAAACATGTAACAGAATCTCCGACTTACCACTTTAGTGGAGCGATTACAGAAAATAATGGCCTGTTAAGTACATGTTTTTTTGTGTTATTATGAAAGTTCAGAAAACTGCGCAGTTTTTGAAATTATTTTAGACCTATGGAATTACTGTTTTTTTTTAAACTTTTAAGTTGAAAATTTTAGGATGTTCCGTTAAAAGCATATTTTTTTATGTTTCTAGCAAAAATTTTGTATCTTGCATCAAAGATAGGAAGTTGATTATTTTTTTCAAAAATCTGCAATTAATAGGGAATCTGTCAAAAAAAAGAAATCTGAGAAAAGTCGACCCAGAAAAAAGATAAAAAAATTTAAAGCCTACTGGGTCGTACAATTTGAAAAAATCACAAAATTAACGATAACTTCTAAACTATGAAAAATCGTAGAACATACATGGGGGTGAAATCGATAGGTCTAGTCCTCACCTATCACCTGCTTTCGGCTTGACACCTTACAAGAAACACCCTGTATATATAGATAAGATATAAGATAAGATAGTTATAAAAGCAGCATCCTACTCACTCAAAGGTTTAAGATTGGGATCAAGTAGTTCTCTTTCTTCAGGTGGTTTGTAAACTTGGTCTCTGATCTTATCTGTGAATGGTGAAAGATGGGGTGGCAATACAGCACCCATGAGGTATTTGTTGATGGGCAGCAATGTCCTGGCATTGACACTATCAAATACCCATTGAGGTTGAATATAGTAGCGGGACAAGTATTGTTTTTCCATACTAGGCCTGTCAACAATCTGGTATGCAATTGACTCATCTGATTCATCAAATGTGGCCCCAACAAAATGATCTTTGTCCCACGACACCTCACCACCAAAGCACCGAATGATAAATACAAGAGGTTCTCTGGGCACTTCCCTGTTGATGTAGAATTTGAGGCCTTTGAACATTGTTTTCAGTTTCTTTACATTTTCAGCTTCTTGTTTTGCTTCTTCTAGTTTTTGTGGGTCCTCATCTTCAGTGTTGAATATATCCATTTCTGGCAATTCTTCAACTTCATTGGCCCCAGTTATTTTTACCACTGGTATGTTCATAGCAGCTATCCTCTCTGATACATAAGACTGTTCATCAATAAGATCTTTGTCAGAATCAGCTGAGAAAGCCGCTGTCAGTTTTGGTGGGTATACCAAGTTTAGGGAGTGATATAGCTTGAAATTTACAAATCCAAGCATCATTGTGTAGAATTCAACAAAGGTTGACATAATTTTGAAGTCCACTTCATCCTTACTTTGTGGCTGAAAAACAACAAAAGGATTAACACTAATGACATTTTATGCTACCATGTGATTGATTGATATGTGAAGCTGATAACAATGTCTTAATAATATCACAAAAAATTTATCCACTAACCTGGAATGAGAAATGATGAGGAACAATCCATGTGATAGTTTGTCCCTCAAACTCCACCTGATAGTAATATCCCTTCACCGATACAAATACTTTCCGAAGTGCCTTTGCTGCTATAACTGCATGCATAAACTCGACTGTTAGTCTTCGGCATAGCATAGACTGATCTCTGGGAACCCTTTTCAGTGATGGGAATGTGCTAAACAAGAAGCACAGAGTGAGACAATCATCCAAATCGCGTAAGGCATCAACAAAAGTGGGATATCTTTCTTTGACAATGTGGTCAATGTTTGTGTCTGGGTAGTCACGTAAATATCTTCTCATCTGACGGAAGTCTCTCATCGAACGGGCTTTCCGAATCTTTTGTTGGTATACCTAAAACAAATTTTTCGTTGGTTATTTATAAGCTAAAGCAATACATAAATACATTTATGTTTCCTTAAAACCTTAAAAAGTTACTTACTTTTAGCTCTCTGATTTTCCATAGTACAGGCTCATGTAATAGAAACTTGATATCTTTTGTATGGTACAGCGTTTTGATACCTCCAGCGCCTTTCTGAGCCCTCTTACGATTGCGAGGTTCTCTCGGATAAATACCTTTTAGAATACATATACGTCTAAAATCCTTCAGTGTTAATTGTAGTTTTTTGAGGGCAGCCTTCCTGGTCATAAATTGTGCTCCCTCTCCAGATGAATACTGTAATCAATACATTTTGTGGTTATGAACAACCAAAACACGTGTGATTTTTATAAGAGTAAATAGCACACATACCTTCTTCTTCTTCTTGGAAACCATTTTTGTTTAATTTATTATTTAATTAAATGTAGTTACTATGGTTTATCAGTATTCTTTTAGCTTTTAAATTAAATAAAAATTAATTTATTTGTTCAACACAACACATCACAGGTGATGGTTGACATTTGAAAGAAAGACATTTTACTTTTTAATTTAGTCGTTCATTACCGTCAGTCCCGCGATGGTAATACGATTATACAGCCTAGGCGACCTACCAATTATTGTCAAAATGAAATGAATAAAAAAAGGTTTTTTGTATTTAATTGATTTATTGAAAATATTAAAACTATAATAAATAAATAATTTAGAATATTTTATGCAAATAAATAATTATTCAGTTTCGGTAGCTACTGGGCTCGCCGGTGTAGATGGTGCTACAGGCGTAGCCGTAGTTTGTGCTTGTGCCTGTGCCCACGCACTAGGATCTACCATCACATATTGGTAAGGGTAGGCATACGCCTGAGGCCACATTGGAGAGGGGTGGGTTACAGCGGAGCTGGCGGTTTCTTCGTTAAGTCCGGCATCCTTCAAAATGGTCATCATGTTAGCGTATGCCGACATCATTTGTGGGTAGAAAAATTGGTATGGGTTGTACTGAGGAATTGCGGCAGCGACTGGTACTTCGGTCTTGCTTTCGGTTTGAGCTGGCAGAGTTGGGTTAGCGGCAGGGACAGCATATGGGTATGCAGCAGGAGTGGTCTCGGTAGTCGCTGGTACTGGAAGTGCGTATGCGTACTGTACTGGAGGGTTGACCACTGCTCGCTTCTGTGTCTTCTGTTCTTCAAGGTTGTAGCCGGGTAGACCAGGCTGAGATTGTATTGGCAAGAAATGGACGGGCTGGTCGGTCAGCCATTGTGTTTTGGCGCCGGTGTCTTCCGTGGCGGCCACGTATAGGTCGCCTGTTGTCCCGTCTACAGACGGCTTGACGTACAGTCCATGGACTGGGTGTAGTTGGTTTGCCGTCTTCGAATAGGCCACGTGTCCATTGGCCCCAGCTGCAATGGCGGACACGGCCACAATCAAAACTAATCTGAACATGTTGGACCAGACTTGGAGGATTGATGACTGAATGATGTTCAGTTCGTAGCTTGAACCTTTTATATTATGAACCCTAGTAATGATTGACGAAGATTGCATTGATTCTTATAGATAAAATTAAGATAAAATGAGATGAGTCGATTTTATTAAAGACACGTTCTGCTGTTCACAGCTTTGGTGCTTATCTATTCTGTCTTATCACTAAATAGAAGTAGTCATCGTAGATTTATTAATGTTAAAGTTTTACAAAATATTGACGCAACTAGCCTTAGTTACAATTCATACGCTGATTTAGGATTACGTCATTAATTTGTAAAGGAGCATAGCCTTACATTATTGCTTTTAATTTTGATGATCTAGCTAGCGTACACTACACCTACCTACATTGAAGTCGTGATGTTATGTGTTACACGAAAACATCACGTAATTACCTACGTGCAAAATATATTTTCTTTCCAGCGCTACTGTAGTAAATCTTATTCAACTCTTAAATTTAGCATGGCCGTTATAAATAAAGGGAATCACACCATAACTCCCGTTTTCCCCCACTTTTCCAGGTTTTTGATGACACATTTGAAATCTACGCACAAAGTTTACCTAAGAACCGATCTCAGTTAATAAGTATTTATCTTTCAAAAAATTTTTCCATTTGATTAAGGTAAGGTAAAATATTACATAATTAAAAGGTAAAATAACCCCCCTTCTGGCGCAGTCGAGTAAAAAGTTAAATACATAACCGATAAAACAACAATAATATGACGCCATAGCCTTTACAACCCTTATAAATATGTAATTGTAGTTTCTGTACAGAGCTCGTAAGTTCTACATGTCTGTGCGATGTATTTCTATGGTTTTGGCAACCCATGTGGTTTCCAGTTTCCGGACTTCGATTTGCGTGAGGGAGCATGAAGAGTTCTCGCTCTGCGGGTGGAAGTGTCCACCTACTTGCGTGAACTTGAAGTTTATGGGAAGGATTAACAGTAATAGTAGGTAGTAATTTAAATAATGATAAGCTTTAATCACGGCCGATGGGGCAGTTAAGTTCTGGAGTGGTTGTCACGTACCGGAAAATGCAGCGTGATGCGCCCAAGGTGGACCGACGACCTCATAAAGGTAGCAGGAAGTCGCTGGATGCGGGCCACTACCAACCGGGTGATGTGGAAGGAAATCATTGAGGGAGGCCTATGTTAAGCAGTGGACGTTCTGTGATAATGATGAAGCGTTAATCAACAAATCTACCAACTCTTTGTCGTCTCTAGAAGTACCTAAAGAACGCCTTTCAAAGTACAATTAGCACGATTCTGAGTGTGTCCTGGCGTGGTAGAAAGTAGAGTAGGTACCTAATCCAGGAATCCAGTTTGTGACCCACTGCGTTTAAGACGGTGACGGTGCTCGTAAGCTAGATCGTTAGAGCTTTTAATTATCATTCTATGACGAAATTGTAAATAAATAGGTAAGGTTAAATTACATGCATGGTTTCGACTATTTTGACTTTAAACATTATTTAAAAAATATATAAACAAATATTAAAGTTGGATCGAACCCGGTACCTTTTGTAGCATTTAACAATTACTCTAGCATACAATATGATTGTATTGATTGACATGTTTCTGAAAATTCAAGTCGGAATATTTTTTTTGCTAACTATTGTAATTTTAACTTGGACAAGTAGCTAGGTAACAGCGATTGAGGTCATGTAATGTTTCACTAGTTTCACGACAAACATTTAGTTTGTAATTTAATGAACTAGTTTCTGCCTGCGGCTTTGCCTCTCGATGCCCTTCGAAGATAGTTTAATATTAGAGTAGAGTAGAACCATTCCTAGCTCTAACTCTTCGTAACCAAAAATTAAACAGTTAAGTAAAAATAATTAAGTAAAATAGACAGATTAAACGACAAAATTAACATTGAGGGAGGGTATAATACTCCTACAGCAGAGACATAAACTCTTATTCGTCGTCGTCGTTTCAGCCGAAAGACGTCCACTGCTGGACAAAGGCCTCCCCCAAGAATTTCCACAAAGACCGGTCTTGCGCCGCTTGCATCCAGGTACTTCCCGCGACCTTCACCAGATCGTCGGTCCACCTAGTGGGAGGCCTGCCCACGCTACGTCTTCCAGCTCGTGGTTCTATCTCTTATTCATGATTATGCAATATGATGATCATCATCAGAAATCGAACTAGGTACGTAATAGTAGAAGACGTTAAACATCCTACTAATATTTTATAAATGCGAATGTTTGTATGGATGTTAACATGTTTGTTACTCTTTCACGCAAATATACTGTTATACTGTGAATTTAAAGTATTATTGTTTAAACATCAGAATAACATATAGGCTATAAGTTATAATGATTTAATTTCACGATCAAATTCAATTTTTATGTATTGACTAGCTTTCCGCCCGCGGCTTCGCCCGCGTGGAATTTTGTCTGTCACAGAAAAACTTTATCGCGCGCGTCCCTGTTTCAAAAACCGGGATAAAAACTATCCTATGTTCTTTCCCGGGACTCAAACTATCTCTATGCCAAATTTCATCAAAATTGGTTGCGAGGTTTAAGCGGGAAAGCGTAACAGACAGACAGACAGACAGAGTTACTTTCGCATTTATAATATTAGTTGGGATGGGATGGCAGGAGGGACTCTATGCTCCTCGATGTGGGAGTGCACGGTCGCCTGCCGCTGTTCCTCGGACTACGTACATTTATTGATAATGATGATCAGAAATCGAATTGCTTAATAGAAGAAGAAGTCAATATTTTATATGGCTTACCAGACTTTTATTGATGGCAGGAGGGACTCTATGCTCCTCGATGTGGGAGTGCAAGGTCGGCTGCCGCTGCTCCTCGGGCTACATTCGCGACGAGTACAGCAAAGGATGCGTTTTGGTGCAGGACTGCCCGGGTATCGATATAACTTACCAAATATTATAGTTATGTAATTTTTCGATGGACAACTTACTAATTGTGTCCGATTCGAAGTCTTAAAATACATGTACAATTTTTATGTGCATGTGGATTGAATGATCCTTGCTTCAATATTAACAAAAATCGAGGAAGGTTTAGTTAATATTATATTAAAACATTGCAGTAGGTATTAAAAAAATAACTACTTACTGCAATGTTTTAATATAATGCACAAATGCTTGTTATGCCAGTAGCGGGTTCGAGTACCGCTATGGGAAATGTTAGAGAGCATTATTATATTTATAATAACGAATATTTACGGTATTTCATATTATAATAGTTAATTTAATTATGATTAACACTTCATTACTTTGCTCAAGGCGAACTTAGTGCCACATGACGTTCTCACCCAGTCAACCATATGTATATGGTATGTAGTTGCCATAGTAAATTAGACAGTCCACCATACTAATAGGTACTATACATTTGTGTATGACGAAGAAATTCTTCCCCATACTACCCCAAGAAATTACTCTCCCATCTTCATAACTAAGATTTGATTGATTTATCAAGAGATTGATTTTATACGGAGATGTGTTTCAATAGAGAGTAAAATGATTCATACTAATTTCTGATATATTGCATCAGAATGTGAAGAAGTTATACAAAATTCAATAATCATTAAGTAGGTTAATCGCATAAAGTAACATTGGCAGTGGTTCTCGGTACAAAATCGGCTGATGTTGGCGAAAATTGAAATTCTGCGCGAGCGCACTCGTTGCGAAATCATAATATTGTTATGCATTTTAATGTTGTTATGCGCTGCGATAACCTAAAGAGATTCACTTATTTTAAAAATAGGTATTTTAAAAAGTTTATGTTTTTGTTATTAATTATTAACTTAACCGCCTCTTTGGTCAGGTGGTAAGACCACCTAGGCAGCTGTCTCAGACCCAGAGGTCCCGGTTTCGATTCTCAGTGGGAGCAAAATGTAACTTTATTATGATTAGATTAACTACAACCATCAGATGAGATAAACGATTGAGTATTGAGATGGAGGCTGGGCACGAGCGAAAAACATTATCAAATATTTACTTTGCGTTATTGTTTAGTAACATTAATAATACAGTTAATTATTAAGAAGACTGGGCAATAAATTATAAAAACACTAACTTGACTGAAGAATATAAAAGGGTAGGGACTAGCTTAACACTGTGACATTCTATTTACTTCCAATACTTTGTAAAAAAAATATGTAGAGGTTGATCTACTGTTACGTTATACAATTGAATAACAAATAAAACCTAACCTAAATTAATTAGCACTAATAATGAGAGTGAAGACGAATCTAATGATCATCGAAATCCACCAAGCTTAGAATGCAAAACATAAAAAATATATCTAAAAACTTCAAAAATACAGATTTTATTCTGTTATTATGTATGAATAAAGTTAGTAGTAGTTAATGTTAGTTAAAGTATTTACTGCGTTAAAGTATTACTTTTCCTACTCCGTCCATAAAATTACAAAAACTTTTGTCTTGTTCTTAGTATTAAATTTGTTTACTAGTAGAAAAAACTGGTAAAAGTTTTAGGTAAGTAACGGTTACGACATCATACCAATCATACTAACAAACATAGGCCAGTAGAATTAAACACAAAAATTGATTAAATCGGAAATAATTCCGACAAAAGATTTTTTTGCTTTAATGGCTTCATTGGTTGCCCATTAAAAGTCTCCTAAGTTTTCGGGTATCCTTCCGTTTGGCCAAATTACTTTTCGCCAAATTTCACTTCGCAAACAACTTATCGCCAAAGTTTCATTTCCCAAATGAACTTTTAGCAACTGTACTTTTCGCAACTAATTCATTTGGTCAAATTATCATTTGGCAAAATTTTACTTGGCAAATGTTTATATAGCAAATGTTTTATTTTGCCAAATATTATATCCCAAATAATTTGTTTGGTCAAATTGACACTTCACACACAAATCTAAGCATAAGGCAGATAATCATGGTTTTCACANTGGGACAGAATGAGGGAGCAGACGTGAAGTGGCGAAGCAGTCACCGTGGAGCACCTGGTGGGAGGCGCGGGCGCGGGCGGGCTGCTGCCCGGCGCCTCGCCCGCCCAGCATCCGCCCAACATGCTGCAGCCTATGGAGGAGATGATCCTCCCCCCCAAACGACAGGCTGTTGTGGACAGGCTGCGGTGAGTGTTGCACTCTCTCTGATACCAGTTCTGCTTAATAACTGTTGCTCTTATTTAGATTTTCCTTTAAGAACTGTAGATAAGGACCAATTTCCCAAAATTCTATGTAGTTAGGCCCTTGTTACTATTTTCCACAGAGCTAGAGTTAGAAAATTTAGTAAACTGAATGCATAATTGTAAAACAAAAGTCTTGACAGCCGAAATTGGCTCTAGTGGCTTTATGGGATTTTTTATACTATTTGCATTTGAAATGGCTCTACATGACTTTTCCGACCGACTGACACTACACTTTCCATTCCAACCATCAGGATGATTCCTTCAATGATCTTACAAATGGGAACAATATCTCAAACGTTTAAGTCATTGTTAGGAAAAACTTAAAAAAAACTTTTAAAACTCGTCCCTGTTTCAAAAAGTGGGATAAAAACTATCCTATGTCCTTTCCCGGGACTCAAACTATCTCTATGCCAAATTTAATCAAAATCTGTTCAGTGGTTTAGGCGTGAAAGCAAGACAGACAGACAGAGTTACTTTCGCATTATAATATTAGTATGGATGAACATAGGAAGTAGGTCAGTCACGTCAGTATGAAGTTCAACAGGTCAAGTAGTGCAATCATAAAATTATCAAAGATTTTTGAATTTTCAAGAATAGAAGAAAGTCAATCAGTTCTTTGAAACAGGCTTTAGAGGTCGTCTCTGCCTTAGATTAGCTTCTATTAACTGGAAATATTTAGTGAATGAAATAGGTTCTGTTATTTTTTAAATTTTAAGTGGATTACTTACTTATAAGACTTGAGTGAGTGAGAAGACTGAAACTATACCTCTTAGTTATAAATTATTAAGCTATAGACTAGAAGAAAATCTGCCTCATTCAAGATAGACTTCCTGTGTCATTATCATGTCATCAGTCTCTTAAACCTATTTTTACTTTTTATATATTAATATAATTATAGGCCAGTAGAATTAAACACAAAAATTGATTAAATCGGAAATAATTCCTACAAAAGATTTTTTTGCTTTAATGGCTTCATTGGTTGCCCATTAAGACTCTCCTAAGTTTTCGACTTTGACGGAGTTGTGCTTAAGTGGTGGGGGCCCCCGAAAGGGGCGTTTTTTCGGTTTTCCGGTTACACCGCGTAAAGGACTTACCCTATCGAAAAGTGGTCTTCATGACGGTTAAAGGGCACTTAATTAATCCTTTTTTTTTTATTCTTATATAATGTAAGGACTTTTGTCTATGTATAGACATGCCAGTCCTATCGTAACCTAACCTTACAATGTACAAAGCTAGAGTTATAAACTTTTAATTAATAAAAATATCAATTTAGCCGCGTCGGACAATGGTTCGGCTAGTATGCTTTGATAAGTACCAACATCTACACAATTTATTTGTAATTGACTTATAACAAGTTGTCGCTGTCTTTCGTTCCTGACACACTCCGTCAACAAATGTAGGACATCTTCGATTTTATCGCAGACTTCACAATTAGGCGACTCAACTTTTTTCATCAAATATCCAAACTTGTTTGACGGATAGTGTCCAGATCTAAGCCTATGCATTGTTACAACAAACATTCTACTGACTTTCCCATAACTAAACCAAGGAGTTCAAAGAGGCTGACTTTGTATGGTTTTATACCAAATACCTTTAATTTCAGATCGTTCGTTAAAATATACCTTCCATTTATTATAGCACTGGTTACACTGGTTGAGGTGGCCCATTTCAAGACTTGGAAGCCTGTGGGTAACAAACCATTGGACGTGGAGAGGGTCATTAAATACGTATATTTTCTACTTTGCCGAACTTTAGCGCGAGAACGGTTTGTCCAAAACATATGAATTTGGTCTTATTCAATGCAGGATTAAGTGCCCTTCAACCGGGTTATTCCGNCAAAATTTTTTATAACTTGACAAAAACTCCTGGTAAAATGGTTCAATTAAGTAGTGTCTACCTTCCGTTACAGCTAATTTTGAAAGACGGTCAGCCTCTTCGTTTCCACTTAAGCCTACATGTGATGGAATCCACTGCAGTCTCAGACATACGCCGTTTCTATTAAAACTTAGGATGTTTGAAAGAATTTTATAAGCTATCGATACACCTCTGTATCCAGAGGCGCATCGAGCTATATGCTGCAATGCACTCCTACTATCAGAAAAGATAACAATTTTTCTAAAACTTTTACTTGCAGCAAATTCTAATCTGGTGAAGTTCGCGGTAAGTACCTGGATGAGGGCAGTGCTGGACCGGTCGTTATGGAAATCCTTAGGGGGGCCTTTGTCCAGCAGTGGACGTCATTAATTTGGCTGAAACAAACGAAAGTTTTAAATAAGTAAATAATCTTACTAGTGTATGGTCCCTAGTTCCAAGTAGACGTCAGCGCCGTCGTCGGTGACGCTGCAAGCTATGAGCGTGCACAGCGCCGTGCGGAGACCGATGTGCTCTATGCTGAGGTTGTTAGATACCGCCTGAGGAATTACTGACTTTGAAGCGCTTTTCTTTTATAATAATAATCTATATATATAAAAGAAAGTCGTGTTAGTTACTTCGCTTATAACTCAAGAACGGCTGAACCGATTTAGCTGAAAATTGTCAGGGAGGTAGTTTAGAGCCAGGAGAAGGACATAGGATACTTTTTATCCCGTTCAAAATTAAAAAAAAATCTGCTTATTTATTGTCATTAAGGCGGAACAAAGTTCGCCGGGTCAGCTAGTAATAAATAAAAAGCATTTATTTCTTTCTTTCACAATCCATTATTACAGTGAAACACAAATTGCTATGTACTAATTGAACAGGGTAAGATTGTGAGAGAACTGGAGTCTGAACTAGGCGAGAAGCCTGGGCCATTCCATTCGGGGTAACAGCACGCGGTGGGTAAAAGTACGCGGTGGTCCGATCTCCGACAAGGGTGGGGGGGCCGAGGTCTGTGTTTGTAAAATAGAGTGGCGCTACTGTCGCCATTTAGGAGCCACGCGCCGCGCCGACGCAATCTAAGTACTGGTCGCGACACGTCGCCGAATACTTGTAGCACGCTTAATTCGTTTAATTTTTATGCCACGGAAAAGTGTGCTGTAGTTAAATGGATNTCAACCGTCATGAAGACCACTTTTTGATAGGGTAAGTCCTTTACGCGGTATAACCGGAAAACCGAAAAAATGCCCCTTTCGGGGGCCCCCACCACTTAAGCACAACTCCGTCGAAGTCGAAAACTTAGGAGAGTCTTGATGGGCAACCAATGAAGCCATTAAAACAATAAAATCTTTTGTAGGAATTATTTCCGATTTAAAAGCTAATTCTACTGGACTATATTCGTACTTAATCACCAAAGTTTATGAGTAGTGGCGCGGTGAATCACCTCGAACGCTGAAAGTCTCGGGTTCGATTCACAGGTCGAAATAACTTTTTGTAATTTTTTTCAGTTTGCTCAGGCTAAATGTTAAAAACAGGACCCCAAAGCGATAGTCTAATTCTTAAAACATTTGACCACGATTGTATTAAAAAAATATTGCTGAACGGATTTGGATGTTGACCAATAGCAAAATGTATCAACATTATTGTAAGTAAATAAGCAAAATGCACCTGTTACAAATTATAATAAATCTACTGAGACTACTCAGATGATTTAATTCAACTTTCTTTTCGTGGACTGTGTGTAGTGATAGGCTTTAGGTGCAAAAAATTATTAAATAAACGAGATTTTAAGACGTTTACTAATTATGTCAATAGTTTCTTACTTTATTAGTTTACTTTTAGCTTCCAGTTAATTTTTTGGGTTAACTAATGTGAGTTTCTTATCTTGCTTGATAAGTACATAATATAAGTATTAAATAAAACTTATTTTATTTTAAATGCGTAAGCCGAGATAGTTTGAGTCATCTTCACCTTTTAATTATTGCATAATAATTCTCAATAGCAAATATTTCGTCAATGTGCGAATAGGATAGTAAGTTAGTAACTAGGTCCAACAAAGCGAATATCTGACTCTGCAGGAAATACTCGGTCAAGCAAGTGTCGCAAAAGGCAGATTGCAACCTAAGTAATTAAGTTCGATCCAAAAGTCCAGAGTGTACACTCATATAAATATTGGGCGGTGTTGATTATCCACTACAGTTGCAACACGGTGTAAATATGAAGGTCGTTATTTCGGTGTGTACGTTTGCGGCCGCGGTGCTCATGGCAGCGGGGGCGCCCGCGCTTCCCAACGTGTACCTACCGGAGCCCTCGGGGATCCTGTACCCGCAGCAGTTCCTGAGGGACAGGAGGTCCTTCGGCGGAGGGTACGCTGCCCCTTGTGGCGGTGGGGGGTACCTCAGCCCCATCCATTCGGGATACGGCGGCTATGGCGGCGGGCACGGAGGCTACGGCGGCGGTCACGCAGTCTACAGCGGCGCCTCCAGCTACGGCTACGGCGGCCCTCACTATCGCGCTGACGAAACTGGCGAGGGTGAGGTCATGAACTTCTCGCACATGGAGCAAGACATGACCGAGCACATGCCGATGGCGAGGTACGGCGGATACGGAGGACACGCTGGTTTGGCCGGCCTGGGCGGCATTGGAGGTCAGCTCGCGCCCGCTGTGTTGTCAGGCCCCGCTGTCGGAGTGTTCCCGAACGCTAACGTCGGCGGTTGCAACGTGCCTCTGCTGCTGAGCTGCTCGCCTTCCATCAGTGCTGGGCGCATAGTGAAGAGCGGTTACGGTGGCGGTTACGGAGGCGGCGCCGTGGTGGCCGCCGGCGCCAACGCGTACCGTGGAGTGGATGACCAGACTCCCCAGGACGTCCACGAGGAGCACGCCCACGAGGAGATGACCGCCCATGACTCAGTGGAACACGTCAGCGACTCCGTCCACACCGAACAACACCAATAAAACATAGGACTTTTAATTGTAAATAGCCAATAGTTTTAGTAGGTTGTTTTTTAATAAATGTATTGTAATATTTATTATACGAACTGATATTTATTTGTCGTGTCTAATTTAAATTCCCATTCAACATTATAATTAAGCTAAAAATGTGACACTTTTTAGATTTACACTATTTTACATTACACACATAATAATTAACGTAAAATCATAATTTACTGATAGCTAGATAACATGACATGATAGGGGCCAGGATCTAGAACCAATACCATAGTTAAGTTACTGAAAGTATGGTCTACCAGTTACATGTTCTTGAACTGAATAATTTATCCCATATCACACTAAAAAGGGTTCAATAATCAATTGTAGAGCAATTTCATTCTACTCAGAATATACTCATAGTAATAACAATTAATCTCGATGAAATACCGTACGTGCCTGAATGCATAAATTTAAATTGCCTAGCCAGATCATTAGATGAATAGATAATCTCCTATTTAGTATAAATACGTTAGATCAGACTCAATCATCACATTCACACATCACATTTCACCATGAACCCCATAGTACTCTTAGCTGTGATCGTTGGGTCGAGCTTCGCCGCTCCCATTGAGGAGGAAGATTTGGTGAGGACTAAGAAGCACCTCGGCGCACCTTGCGCAGGCGCCGTCCCATACGCGCCTGTGGCCCTGTACCTGAACCAGGGCCCCCCGCCCCACTACAGGGAAGACGATCACGAAGAAGATCTCCACGCTCGTCTGGCTTACGACTCGTCTCTCGGCTATGGAGCAAGTTCCTTGTCGTTGGGAGGCTACGGGGCCGGCGCCCACGGGGCTCTAGCCTTGTCAGGCGTCGCCCACGGGCCCGCAGTCGGCGTCTTCCCAAACGCTAACATCGGGGGCTGCGCCATCCCCATTCTCTTGAGCTGCGCACCAAACGTCGTCGCTGGACACCTCGCCGAGTCCCACGGGTACTCCGGGTATTCCGGCTACTCTGCCCCGGCGTACAGGACCTTCGAGGAAGAGGAGAGGCCCAAAATGCCGCGTGTAGCCACCACCAGCCACCACAAGGTCTCGGAAGACTTTCCCGAGCCCCACATAGCTCCTGCGAGCCACCACGTCGTGTCGGAAGATTTTCCTGAACCGAACGTGACCCGCGTTGCCTCCCACCCTTCAGAGGAGAAGCCGAAGGTGTAACTTGAATTACTTCTGTAATAACGCTAGAAACATCACATACAATAACTATTTATTTTTTGTATTGTAATTTTAATTTTGAAATGAAAAATAAAATAATTTAAAAATGCACCTTGTGTTTTCTAAATTGTGTTCTTATTCATTCAGATAAGAAATTATAAACAACATTCCTAATACATTTACACTTCTAATAACTAAGTTCATAAATTAACGAGTGAAATTATTTATTTAGCTGAATGGAATAGGCACCATTCATCAATAATCCCAAATTATTGTAGACTAGTTTTCCGTCATAGAAAAACTTTATCGCGCACATCCCTGTTTCAAAAACAGGGATAAAACTATCCTACATGTCCATTTACAACCAGAATTTTAATAGTATCGATTTTTCCCAGAGTCCCTCAAAATTTAAAAAGCATATTTTAGACACTGCAAAGTGACCAAATTAAGATAAATTAAATGAAAAAATACAAAACAAAATTAATAATTAATAGTCTGAACATAATATTAATTACTTCTTGGTGTTGAGCTACACCGTGTTTATAAGCACGTACCTACCTTAATTGTAATTGCCTCGCTCTATATTACATGGTTTCATATATCAATATGTGGATTATGTATTGGGATGTGTTACCACTTACCACATAAATAATACATAAGTGTAGTAGATAAGTTAATTTCTGTAACACATTTGTTTGTAATTCCTAAAATAAATAAATAAAATAAAATAAATAAAATCCTATGTCCTTTCCCGGGACAGAAACAATCTCTATGAAAAATTTCATCGAAATCGGTTCAGTGGTTTAGGCGTGAAAGCCACACAGACAGACCGAGTTACTTTCGCATTTATAATATTAGTAGGGATAGTATCCTTGTAAATTCAATTTGAACTAGTTTTTAAACTACATTACCTGACTATTTCAGTTGTAATCAAATCAATAAATTGAATTGAGTTGAGGATCTGTACCCTGATCACGAATAACTCTCGTAGCGCGTTGTTTTATTGCAAAAATTAAATCTATTATTACCACCGTAACGTGAACGATATTTATTCTTGCTCCGGGTACACGTAATTTTTGGTACACTATTCAATAATGAAATAATTTTCGATGATTAATTTCAACTTTACGCCACTCTAATTGTAGGTATGTGTATTTTTGGTTCAGTACATTCAAAATAATTTATTTGTTTGTAAGTATTCGAAATTATTAAACTATGTATAAAATAAAATTGAAACAGAGATCACTGTATTGTATCATTGTTATCTAATACCCATCAATAATTTTTGTGAGTATGAGCACAGAATAATAACGCTCGAAGTTCGAACCCACTAAAACTAGGTACTTCATTATATTCCCTCTATACTCTATAGGACGTGTACATTATACCACGACAACTACGGTTATCCCACCATGGGCCCTAGATACATTTAAAGGAGAGCTGACGGGAATTAAATAGCCGGGGTCTCGTCCAAGCTTACGATGATATTTTTAACCAAACTAGGAATAACTGCACAAAACTATTTCCCCATTTTCGCTATGAATCTGAGAATCGAACTTAAATAGGCCAAGAATGCTGAATCTATAACCAATCTTACTAATATTATAAACTAGCAGCCGCCCGCGACTTCGTACCTACGCGTTGACTCCGGGGTGAAGTTTCGAGTTTTTTTTAGGGTTTTCCCGGAAATTATTCGAACTTTTCTCGCCGCAAAAACCATCCTTGGACTTCAAGGAACATTAAAAAAAAACAATTGGTAAAATTGGTCCACGCGTTGTTGACTTATGCGCTTACCAACACATTTTGCGATTAATTTTTACATTATATGTAGATGAAAGATTGTAAAAACTGATGGATGACTACTAAATGAATTTTGATAAAACGGTATACATATTACAGTATTATTGTTCACTAGCTTTTGCCCACGGCTTCGCCCGCGTGATAAGCTTGTAAGAGATCATTAAAATTATAGCATATACCTATGTTATTCTGTCATACTGAACTGATTTGGATGAAACTTTACTGTAAGTATTAACATTAATACTTAATAGTTTTTGCGTGAAATACTAACAAATATTTTTTGCGAACTTTCACATTTATAATATTAGTAGGAACATCTTCTATACTTATAATAAATCTGCAGAGAGGTCAATTCTGTACATGAAATATATTTTCAAAATAACTATCAGGGGGTGATTAGTGATCGATACTGATGCCAAAAATGCAATCAGTAAATTTTTTGTCTGTCTGTCTGTCTGTATGTTCCTTATAGAAACAAAAACTACTCGACGGATTTTAACGAAACTTGGTACAATTATTCTTCATACTCCTGGGCAAGTTATAGTATACTTAGGAATTCCCACGGGAACGGGAATTAGCGGGAAAATCCTTTTGTGTGAAAAATCTAAACCACTTAAGTTAGACCCTTGAAATACATACAGGTATCTTAGTAAACTTAAAGCTTAGTTACAACAGGATATTGAAAAATTCCCACGGGAACGGGAGTTAGAGGGAAAAAACATTTGTATGAAAAAATCTAAACCGCGTAATATAGATGAAGGGGGTAAAACGGGATCCACGCGTACGAAGTCGCGGGCGGCCGCTAGTTATAAAATAAAATAAAGGCTACATTGAGTTCATTTGGCTAAAAATACAACAATAAATGTCAGGTTGGGTCGGTCTGTGTGAAGTCGCTCATACAACTACATACGCCATCGACGAAAAAAACGTACACGATAAATCGGAACAGTAAAACGGAGACATGTGTGAACCGGCCGTTACTTATGAGGTAAATATTATGGGCAGGCCCCCTACTAGGTGGACTGATGATCCGGTGGGCGGGAATATGCGTGTAGCGCAGGACCGGTCGTTATGGGATTCCTTGGGGGAGGGCCTCTGTCCATCAGTGGAATCTGAATCGAAATATGGTTTCGTTGTATTGCCTCTACAACATTGCCTAATATAACAATTTACTAATATTATTTAAATTAATCGTTTTAGATTAAAATGTTATCAATAAATAAATAAATATAAATAAATAAATCTTTGGACAATACTTTTTACATAGCTATACTTTTTTTTTTAAATACTTACATAAATATTATACATAGTCACACCCAGACCCGTCACAGAAATTAAAATTCATCATTTCAAATTCTGCCCGGCCGGGAATTGAACCCGGGACCTCTCGGCATAGTAGTCCGTTCTGAACCACTACACCAAACGGCCGACAAAAATCAATCAATAGGTCATCAAATTCTTCAGCGTGCGTATTTTTGATACGATCAGTAGATATAAATATGCTTCATGAAATTAAAGTATTAAATGTTTACCAATTCGAGCAAAGAAATAGGATTTTTTTTACAACATCATAATTTTAAAATTATCAAAGAAGCTCATTTTAGTGAGCTTATAGCGTATCCTTCTGGTTCCATGAGTATCGAGTAATCCTAACGACGTCGTATGTAATTTGAGAACTTATCATTATTATTCTCGTTTAAAAGTTCTATAATGTTACGAAAATATCCAAGCAGATACTTCTGCTTTTACTCTGGGAAAAAATGAAATAAAAATTAAACGTTTTTAAAATAAAGTCTGAAAAATAAATATTATATAAAATATTTGCATGCATTCTTTAATTAAGTAGAAAATAACCAAATTTCAACATGTACCTAACACCGATGTTTAATTGTGTATACCATGTTTTAAGCAAATAAAAAAAAGTCCAATTTATTTCCTCTTCAGTGTAAAACCAGCCTGGGCAAAGTGCGTTATTTGCAATATGCACATGTATGTGTTTCGCGCACTCTGGCCTTGAATATCACACGTTCTTTAATTATTATACCCGTTGTGGAAATTTTAATTGAATTTTCTTCGTGGTTTCTATATTTTTGATAGAAATTAAATGGTCTATTTCTCACATGGACTCAAATGATTTGTGTGATCAAAGGACACCAAACTGTCGATTTGAGTCAAATCGACAGTTTGGTGTCCTTTGATCACCAGATTTTGCTACTCGGGATGACCTGGGTGATCAAAGTGGACTGCAGTTAAATTATTATTTTAGTATCCTTGGATCATCTAAATTAATTACACCTTCTCTAAATAGTCACATGTCCAATTTGTTTTTTTGCGGTTTACAGAAAATATTAAAAATGTGACGAAATAAAATACAGTAGTTATTTAATTTTTAGCGTTAAGAGTTGCATCTCACACTAACTTGAAAGTTATTATAAATAACTTGAAAAAAATCGAACTGCCTAAGGCGGGAATTGAACCCACGCCTTAGGCAGTTCGATTTTTTCAAGTTATTATAAATTTCAAAACACAGTAGTTTAGATAGAGTTGTAATGTGGTTGACTAGTAGAGAATACCACGTTACTCGGCATTAAGCCCGCCACTTGTACATTACATTATGTGCAAAAATTTTAAATAAATAAATATATTATAACTTTATAACAGAAATTTCTGTGAAAAAATATTTTGATGAATAGTATTCAGCGCGGAAGCGCTTGTTTTTATACTGGATGAAAATAATAAAAACATAACTAACGTTTTTTTTACAAGTAGGAATTGATTACGTTGTGTTTGCACACTGAATTAAGTTTTGGTATTTTCTCTCCTTATTATTTATTTGATTTGATTTGATTTGATTAACACTACATAGTTTAAAACAAAAGTCACTTTCCGCTGTCTGTCCCTATGTATGCTTAGATCTTTAAAACTACGCAACGGATTTTGATGCGGTTTATTTAAATAGATAGAGTGATTCAAGAGGAAGGTATACTTTGCACCTGTGCGAAGCCGGGGCGGGTCGCTAGTTAATTTGATATAATTAACGCGATGCCAAGCATTTGCCTTGAACGTATGGGAATGCGACGTTTCAGCATAATATCATTATCTTGTAAATCACAATCACTTACAATCGGCACGTATTGTTTTTCTTTAATGTAATGTGTTTTACTCTTGTATCGATTTAGTATAAATGCTGTGGGATCTCGGTTCACAGCATCAAACGATCCATCACCACATCACCATG